TAAGCCATCAAGACACAGATCTCCCCCATTATGTGCCAGTGTATCTATGAACGGGCTTCCCCCTCTGCATGCCTTTAATCTTCTTGATAAAGTGCTAATGCCCTCTGTTCAAATGACCCTCTGTTCTAAACTTGGACTCCAGTTTGAAAGACAGGTCCGAAATTCCAACCCTCTCTGCTAGAGGTCTCTTTCATTTTTAATTCTCAAATGAAAATGCAATTCCTTCTGTAAGTATTGAAAAATAAGACTGTACTGAAAATAATCTTGTGTATCTTTAGAAAAGTGAACACACTTTGCATCTTTAAAAAAGTGAACATGCTTTGCGGGTATATATATATATATATATGTATATATATATGTATATACATATATATATGTATATATATATACATATATATATGTATGTATATATATATATATATATATATATATATATATATATATATATATATACCATAGGAGCTGAGCACAAAAACATCAAAACTTTATGATCTTACCCCCAGTGCCCCAAGCCACCAAGGCAATAGTTTTTCCCTGTTGCTTAGCTTTAACTTTACCTTCCCTGATGTACTGGTGGGGGATTTCCAGAAAGTGTCATGTCCTGTTGAAACCAAAGAGGACCTGGAAAACCATATAATTACTTCTATCAACCTTAAGCAAGGCCTGTTTGTCTGCTATGAAAATCACCTCAACATTAAAGTGTGACAGGAAGGCTGGAAGGAAACCACACTGATTATCCCTTCACTGGTAGCTTATTCCTTGACACATGCTCACCAGCCACCAGCAATCATAACTGTCCCTCAGTCTCCAAAGAACTTTAGAAATCTATCCATTATGTGATATTATCTAAGTTCAAAGGTCATTTTGTATAAAGTATAAGTACTTTGAGTTATATGTTCCTCTCTCCAGCACTGACACTAAAGTCATGTCCAGATGTAGTTCGAGCAGGTGTTCTACTCATGTGGAATGCATTTCTACATGAGCAATGACTCAACAGTGAGAAAGGAGTCTACAAGTATAAGCACATTACCAATACAGATGGTTAGGAAGCTAATATTGGAGGGGATTTGCTGATCACAAGTTGTACATGCACCCATCTTTCAAGAGACCCTCGAACATTCTCACTCTTCCAAGGAAGACTTGCTTTCCAGATACTTGGAACTACATATTTCCAGATTGGGGAACTAGCTCAGCTGGCTAGTGCTTCATTTGCAACAGTTAGAACCTGAGTGTGGTCCTCAGAACCCATATTAAAATAATCATCACGGTAGTATACGTTTAGAGCCTGAGCTATCAGCAGGGCATTTATAATTCATATTCAGCATCTGAGTCTATTATTTGAGACTGGGCGGTCAGGACAGGAAATGTCTGTTTACACTTTGAATTCATCCCTAGCACTAGATGAGGAGCAAAATGGAGAGGAAATGCTCTCCTGGACTCCTCAGTCAGCTTGTTCTCACCATGTTTTCAAAAGGTGGCAACGTATCCAGAATGAAAGAAGATGATCCTCCTGGAGGAAAATAGTTTTACTAAATCCTGAAAAGAGAGAGAGAGAATACAGCAGCCTAGGGAGTAAAATGCAGGAAACACAGACCACATCTGACGGAATTATCTACATTTTGATTGCTAATCGGGGGTCGATGAGTACCCTGAGAGTACCCCTCCCCCACCTCCTCCACCCCCGACCCCAGATGAGATAGCCAATTTACTTCAAGCAAGACCCCTCGCTCTCCAGTTCCCTCCCTCTCAGGCAGTCAACCAAGCAGACACTTATTCAAGTGAACAGTTACCAGGGCGTTCGTAATATGGCTCCAAACTGCTGAGATGAAAGTGCCTCTCTTCAGACAGAGCTGTGCTGATTTATCTAGCTTCCTCATGCTTCCTGTAACTTGTTCTTCCTAAACTCAATTCTCTGGCTGACCTTGCTTAGCTTGTATTATATTTTAGATAAGCCCATCTATTAATAATTTACTCATTTCTCATTTACATTATGTTATGTTTGTTTTCCTAAGGAAGTAAGAGTATTGATTTTAATTCCTATATCATGAAGCAAATTATTTCTGACCTCTATATGTACAGAAGATATGCACTTAAGCTGCAACTCTTGCTAGTCATAAAATGCCCTGCTGAATCATGAATATTAAAGCAAATAACTTTCCATCATGGGTCCAAGAGTATATACTTCCATGGGAAAAAAAAATGAAGCCATTAATTTTAAGCCAAAAAATTAACTAGAGCATGTAGAAGTTGAGAGAAGTTTCTAGGATAATATAAGGGATTAATATAAGGTTTAAATATTAAGTATATTAATATTTATATGTTAAATATAATTATAATGCTCAGAGAGAACATTTATCCAGAATTATATCATTCTCCTCTAAAGAACTCTGTTTTCCTCAGGAACTGAAGAAATGATTCCTGACCATGACCTGACATTCTCAGGTCATTCATTTTTTCCTATTTTCTACACACTCTATTGAGATACAGGACACCTTGGCCTTGTAATGATTCTTCGTCTACACAAAGGAACATGTGTTTGTGATATTTTCAAAGTTTCCTAAGACTGATTATGTTTCCAGCACACTATATGGTACACACATACTCATATACACGTGTTTATGTTCTATCTTTCCCAAATTGGGAGTTTTCTGAATTCTGAGACATTGATTTTCTCTAAGATATCTCAGGTAGATGTGCAAGTCCTAGGGAGCAAGCCTGGAGGGACAGTCAGAGGAGCTCTCTGTCCCAGACTCTCTGTGAAAGTCCAGTTAAAAGGGAATTTGGAACAAGATTGATTAGCAGTTGAGAAACATGGGGCCTCTTTCACTCCTTGTACATGACACTGGCAAACGTCCAAAGTGGTAATGTTCAGAAGTGTATTGCTGTCAAGGTGTTGCAGAATACCTGCTCCTTTGGACCATGGTCGTCACTCCTCTTCCCTCTGACTCCCTGAATATTGTGGTATACCCTGGCTTCTATCATGTTCACCTGCCCTTATAGTCCATCACTGTTTACCACAATGTCTGTCTAGAATCACATCATCAACTTTTTCATTTTTTTATCTTTTGGAGTTTTTAAAACAAAGTGTCACTCTTGCCCTGGCTAGCCTGGTACTCACTATGTAGCTCCAGGGTGGCCTCACAATTGCTGCAATCCTCCTGGCTTGTCCTTCTGAATGTTTACTATGCCAAATGATTGTCTTTTTAGCTCCTGAAAACTACTGTGAACTCCTCCATGAGAACACATTGTCTTTTTGCATGTATCGCTTTACACCACCACAACAAAAAATGTCCAGCACTATGTTAACTCTTTATGTTTTTAACTTTTACACAATGTCAGGCATAATGAAAATATTTGATAAAAATTTAATTAAATGATCATTGCAATAACTAAAAAACTATTTATATTATTTATCTGGAGCCTAAAGATGAAACCTATATATAATTCAGTAAAGAGATAGTAAGAACTTAATTTAGCTCTTAATATGTTTCTTAATTACCACATGGGGCTGTAAAAGGGAAAATTATCGATTTTATGTCATATTCCACTTTAGAGCGTTGGCAGTTGCAAGTTATTGTAGCCCTTGGACAGGGGTGGTCTTCGATTGGTCTTAGACAGGTGTAATCTCCAGTTGCTTCAACTTTAAAATACTGCTCAGCAACTTTAAAGTGTGAACAAACATCAGGCTTTTGGTACATGTGATTTCTATGTGACTCTCAAATACTCATTTATGCACATTTCTCCAAGAAGTAAGGCCAGAATAATGACAGTTAACTGCTTTTATTCAGACCTGAGGAAGGTTACACCAGATAGTCTTCAAATAATTGTATCCTTAAAATAAAGATAATGTAGTATTGTGATTTGGACAAAAACTTCATTTCACAGATATATAAAGAAAATCTGTACTAAGTCAAACTAAGGCATGCCTTCTTTAGTGTTCAGAGGCAAAGAAGTACTTTTCTCAATATCAAAATGATTGTCAAAGTGGGTCATTTTGCTATCAGCATTAATTTTTTTATTTCCTAGAGGTGGAACTTTTACAGAAAAATAATGTCATAATCAATCAAGCAGGATAAGAAAAATAAATTAAGTGTGTCTCTGAAGGAAAATCCTTTATGTGCTTGTGAGCCACCTTCATTCAGATTTATTGAAACAGATATCTAGTCACTCCAAATGGTTGTCTGGTGATAATAATTACAATTTTATTGTGGGTCCACACTTTATCAAGTTGATAATATCGTGATGGAATGTTGTCTTCTAAAACAATGGTATCTTCTTAAGTGTTAACAGATTTTGAAATTAGCTTAAAGATAACTTGCAAAATTATGATTTTATGCAGAATTAGAAGTTCTAAGATATGATAAAATGAAGTCAGAGAATAATATTTATTCGTTGTTTTTGCTTTGAATGCACCAAGCACTCTACCCGAGAAAAACTTAATCTGATACTTAAATTTCCATATGACTTCAACAATCTCTAATATTTCATTTCATGCCATGTGTGTGTCTTACTGTCCCCTCATCTCTTTCTGCAGGATCAAAGTTGATGTCCAGCAGCTTCTCTCCTGTAACCACATCAAATTCTCACCATGGGCCTCTACCAGCTTTTGGGTAATTAGCTTCTATTCCTGAAACTCAAACAGAAACCACTGGGGATGTGATGGTAACTGGCATACGGATAAAAAGGGTTCATTTGTTACCATTCATTATGCCAATCCAGCCATGATAAATGAACAGAAGTGGAGTATTCTCCATATTTCTAGTGCACCCCAGCCCAAGCCCATGGTCTGAATGCTAAGTGAGGGAACCCTGTAGGAAATCATGCATAATGAGTAGGACTTTACAGTACTGTGGAGCCAGAACAGCCCAGCTCTGACTCATCTCCATGCAGGCTTGTTTGGTTAATGTATAATTTTGTTTTGATGTGAATCATTGAAATTTAAGCACGTTAAACTAAATATTTGAACTGTACATAAAGCCTTTATTAAAAAAAATACCAAGTGTGTGTTTGAAGATCTTTTTTTTTAATGTGTGTTTGAAGATCTTTTTTTTAAAGTACTTTAGCTAAACATAAAATAATTGCATGTAATGATCTTAAGGAATCTTAACTTCTCTCTCCTGAAGGGTTGACTTTTTGGGCACAGGAATGTTTTGCTGTCTATGAAAAGCAAATGATTGTAGTACAAACTTGCCTCCTCAGGATGAGGGACTGTGAAAGCTCAGCATTTAATAGATAAGCTAGAAATCCAGGTCAGCAGTGACAGAGGCTTTAGGCTCCATAAACATCAAAGAGCAAATCTCTGCATTATCAGGGTAGATCCTGCCTTTCTTTTCAGACCGTTTAAAACTGAATAGAGAAATGGGAAAGGTAAGGGATAGTGGGTTTTTTTTAAGGAGTAAAAGATATTATTATACATATTTTTCAGATGTTACCAGCATCTTAAATGGGTGGGTTGGAGATAAGAATAGTGATATTAAGCCCCATTCTCTGCCTGGAAAGCTACCCTTGAAATGGAAGATGATAGACAGCCTGGTTGTTGCTGTATGTAGGACATCCAGTCCCTCCAGCCCAGCATACACCTCACACAGAATCCAGACGTTTCAAAACTCTGAAATTGTACAAAGCCCACTTCTGTTTACCTGCACAGTGAGACAGCCTCTTGTGGAAAGCATCTGAGCACTCAGGACTAACACTTTTGTAGATTTCTCCTGGTTTGTGTTGCCTACAAGTGAGCTGAATGAATACACTTCACTCAAGCCTTGTCATTTAAATTTGAAAACAGAAAAAAAAAAAAGAAATTTATAACAAGCTATGGCCAATCATTCAAGAAAGCACAATTTGCTAACGAGAACAAGTATGAAATATAAGCAGCCATACTACAGTATTTGACAGAATAAAATAAAACTATTCTTACAGAGAAACCCTGTCTCGAAAAACAAAACAAAACAAAAAAAAAACTATTCTTGATGTTAACGTCAGCAATACAATAATATGTGAAATATAGAAATAGTTTAATTTCTAACTTTGCAGTATTGAGGGAAGGAAATGTGGTCAGCCTGCAATAGTGGTACCAAATGCAGGGTCATGGTCCTCTCAGCCACTATTAAAGGAGCTTATTCTGTAAGCAGAATGGTTTAAAATCATGCAAACCTCCCTAACAGCTGCCCAGTTCCCTCCAGCAGAGTATGGGGGAGGGGGCGTCTTTAGCACTAAAATGACCTTTTCCATAAATAGGTTAGCCAGGTGCAAGCTACCAGATGTGAATTTCCATAGTCTCTAATCCTTGGGAGGCCATTTATCTCTTTTTACAGGATAAGGCTCAATTCTCAAGGTACAGAAAGAGTCAGCATTTTATTATTAGGGTAGGTGGGCTTGACCAAATTTTATATTCTCCAATAAAGAACACCCTGAAAAACATTATTTTCTGTCATCACTTCATGATTACATCACAAAACAGACTTTTCAGTGTTGCAGCGTAGTAGGAATAGGCCTATAAAACCAATCCTTAAAACTTTAAGAACACCCCTGTCAAATGCCCTTTGCAACCACTCTGCTTGGAATGATTAATTGTTGATTCAAATCATGTCGAATGACTTATGAATTAAATGAGCTTGAAAAGATGGTGGGCAAAGGTCAATTGAGTGTGACCTACTGGCAACTTCAAAACATTCTCTCAGTCCATCAGTTGGTATGCACTCCACAACAAAGCTCAAACCCTAGCTCATGCTTTGTGATTTCTCCAGCAAATTCCACATAATGCACTTCCTCTTAGAACAATAGCTCCAGGGTCCGCAACCGCTTTCATCCACCCTGCAGTCCTGGAGTCTCTCTGAGTCACTAAACTACGGAGGTGACTAATATTGGATGATATTTCAAAGACTTCTGAAGAGAATATGGGTTCCGTTTGACAGGTCTCTCCCTGTTTTTTTCTTTCATTTGTTTGTTTGATCTAAACCTAATGTTTTTAGAGTTGTGGAGGGAAAAATACTTAAAACTAGATTCTTAAGCCTTAGTCAGATTTTTATTCAGCAAGTCTACAGGGATTCAGGAATTCCCAACTGACTAAAGTAGTTTGGCAAATATTTTGCCAGCTCATTAAGAACTACAATGAAATGAGTCCATAGTCACTGATGGGATATCTCCTCCAAGAAAGAAAAGTTTTGTGATCTTTTACATTTTATATTTTATCATTATGTGTATATGGATATTTTGCATGAATGTCTGTGCACCCATGTCGCGTCTGCCTCGACCAGCAAGGAAGACGCAACACCAGGCTCTTCTCCAAGCAGTTTATTCAGGAACCTTGAACAATCTTCTGACCCCGGGGAAAGCCATCTTCTGACTTCCTCTCTCTCTCTGACTCGGGAAAGCCAGCCCACGCCCTTTATAGCCACTGGGCAACCAACCCCGTAGTGCCACATGGACAACGCCGATAGGGTCAGACATACGCAAGCAAGCCAGATTCCACACCCAAACCAAATAAGGAGTTGTTTATCCCAGAGAACACCTGCCATCAGGAAGGCGGAAGCCGGATGCCGGCGCCCTCTTTGAGGCGTGGCCATGCACGGCTCTCTACACACCCATATGTGTGCAGCGTCCCCAGGGACCAAAAGAGGGCATCTGATCACCTAGGACTAGAGTTACGGATGTCTGTGAGCAGCCCTATGAGTACTTAGAGACGGAATCTGGGTCCTGTAGAAGAGCACTCACTGCTCTTAACTGCTGAGACACTGCTCCAGCCCACTTTATCATCTTTGGTATTTGACACACTTGAGTTCAAAACTCTGTCACAAATGTATGGTCCCTCTGAGATTCACTCTTCTCCTGTACAAGATAAGAACTAATTCTACTTGTCATATGAATGGAATGAGATTTTTTTTCCCCAAAGACATTCACATAAGGCAAAGAAAAGGAAATTAGAAGGCTGGAGATAAAATGAGTGGCAATGCAGAAATGATGCCTATGCCACAGAATCCTGAAATGTTCAACTACCCTGGATTTCTGATGTGGAAGTGAAGTCATCACACATTTCTAAGCTCTGAAATGGAATTATCCTGGGTGGAATTTAGAATTGAGATGGTTTAGACAAAACTTTAGTCAGAGAACTTCTTCCCTCGGGCAATCTGAAATTTCTTCCATTCGATTCATTTATTCAACACAGTTGTGAGTTGCCAAACAGTTCTAATACAAAAGACATCACAGAGGCATGTGAAAGAGATGGTTTTCCTACTCAGGCTTTCTATTCTAGCAAAGCAAAGTTGTTGACAGAAGTAAACAAATGAATAGTAAGTTAATGAACAAGAACAATTAGGTTATGATAAATACTGTACTAGATATTTAATGGGCAATACAGTAGAGTGAGTGGGCAGATGTTGCAGAGCATTCCCTAGACTGAAACGCAAAGGGGCAAGAAGGATGTAGCTATGAAAAGAACGCCTTCCCTGCAGAAGGAACAGCTATGACAAAGGTTCTAGGACAGCAAACTTGGCATGTCCAGGAACCAAGAATAAAGATACCATGGCTGAGGCATGGCGGGTGAAACAAAAGGGCCACACATGAAGGAAAGAGACAGAAGGAGGTCAGAGTAAGGAGAGCACCCTGTCAGAGTCTGGACTCTAGCTTTTATCCTAAGCAAGACGAGAAGGCCGCGGAACATTTCCAGTAGAGAAACATGATTATCAGATGTTTGATTTGCAAGGGTCAAGGTGGGCTCTTTGAACCAATGTAGGACTGGTTTTGTGAGAACAGGGGCAGAAGAAAGCCTCCCCTTCGGGAAGCTAGCATAATAGTCCAGGCAAGAGGACATCAGAAGATGCTGATGCTCATAGGGAGGTAGAGGCATGCTTAGAGGAAATGTTTGTATTGTTTAATGATGTGGATCCTGTGGGATCTGAGGGCAACCAAAGAGAAAGTAAAGCTTTAGGACTTGAAGAAGCAGATGCTGGCTGCCTAGGACCAGGTTGACCTAGGCCAATGCAGTTTGTGGAAATGTCTTACAGTGGTGTCTCAACTACCATGAAACATCAACAGCAATAAATTTAGTTACCTTCAAAGGTTCAGGAATGTCATTCAAAACATAAATAATGCAGTCACTGAACATCAGCAATATTTTTATAACAAGAAGGTTTTGAACAACATTTTGCAACGTGCTCACACAAAGGCTAACTTTAAAAAATAATCACCTATATTAGATACTTAAAAAGCATTAGATTAGTAAGTATACAGGTGAACTAGTAATCTAAATTTGGGCTTGATAGCCTTTATAATATGAGTCAGTCATAGACAATCCTCCCCTGTTTCAGGTCAGCAGAAGTTAAGACATCATCTGTGGCAGGTTCTGTGGTAAATGTTCATGTTTCGGTATCTTATCTAAAAATAAAAATTGAAGAATCACATATGGGGGACTTGAAGGACTTCTCCAGATCTACAAAATTTGCAAGAGAAAATGAAGCTTGAATATACGTTGTGTTGATCCTTCCTCCAGATCCCAGGAACATTTTCTGCCAGGAGGCTCTACTCCCTAATGGAGAAATTTCTCTGATACCAGCCCCCAGGTTAATATTGATGGCCACCCTTCACAGCTGCTTCTGTGGAAGGAGTTGAAAGGCAAATACACTCCCTTGAAAGAATTCTGCCTATCTATAACCAAGCACAAATGAGAATAAAGCCCTAGGTGTTTGAAAGCTATGATATAAAACAGAGAATTAAATTGTTTACTTTATGAGGCCACTGCTTTAAACTTGCATTATGCAATAAAACCGCATCCATTCACACTTCACTAATTTCATGTAAAATTAACCAACTAAAATTACGTGTAATTAAAAAAAATGCTAGATTTTCTTCAGATCATTCTTTACAAAATGATTGGAGTACGCAAAGCAAGCCCAAGTTGGTTTGGTTGGCTTGATAGAGTCCTCTACTTCTGATTCTAGTAACTGTGTTTGTTAAGTTACAAAGTAGCTTGTACCAGCGGCTGTGTGAGGCCATCTGAATCTTTTGTGTTGTGGTTTTTAATGAACTGCACTGCTGGCTGAGATGCTTCCACCCAGGAAGCCCATTTCTATCTTAGCTTGCAATGCTAACCTTCCTTGAAATGACTCAATCTCCATTTCTTCTCATATATTTTCTTGGGTAGATCTCTTATTCTTTTTCCTCCATCGTTCTAAATGACTAAGGTTCTAATGACTTCACATTTGTGGTGCTAGATATAAAAATAATAATCAACACCAACTTCCCAAATTATATGCTTTTAAACTTTGTTTAGAGAAATAAAAAGTAAATTCCAAATTTATAGCCCTGGATTCATGGAGCAATCCTTCCCCGGTTGACAGGAGAATACAGCATGCGCCCACAGCCACATAAAATTTTTAAGGCAGGCATTTCAACCACGAGCATTTTTGCCACTTATCTGTAAGAGAGCAATCTCTGTGTTGAACAAAAGGAAATAATGAATAGCAGAACTGGATTGAGGCTTATTTTTCATAGTTCAAAAAAATGACAACTTAGGTCAGAGAACTCACTAAAACTTGACGCAGGACAAATAATGTTAATTTTTTAAAGGGAAGGAGCAACTGGGTTTGAACGCTAACCGTTATGGAGAAGTTACTGTGAGCCAGCCCCTTTATGAAGAAGTTCACACGAGCATTCACAAGAACCAGCGAGATGTGCCCTCTGATCATGCCTAAGCAGAGGAGAAGTGGCCACTTCAGGTGGCTGAGTACTTGCAGGTCACACGGAGAAAGAGGGTGCTGGTTCCACAGATGAGCTCTCCTGCCCAAGCAGAGTCAGAATAGAGTCAGCCTCAAGTCTCTTCACATGCTTGAAGCATAGGGCTCTGGGTGGCACTTACAGTGACCGGGATGGGAGGAGGTATATTGGAAGGTTATTGCCCTCAGCACTAACAGCAGACAAGTGCTGAAGCTAGAGATATTGGCTCAGAGAAGACTAAACATCCCCTGATTGGTAACAGAGACAATGTCTAAATAGTTTGCAACATTTACCCTTCCCAGTCTCCAGCTTTCCAGTGTTTTTGTTTTGTGTTGCATGTGTGTGTGTGTATGTGTGTGTGTGTGTGTGTGTGTGTGTGTGTGTGTGTGTGTGTGTGTGTGTATGTGTGTGTACGCATGCACGAGTAAGCATGTGTGCATTGTTGTGCGCATTGCATGCACAGAGGTGAGGTGTTTGGGTGCATGTGCCTAGGTGTGTGCATGCACAAGGTAGTAGAAGATGCTTGGTGTCCTCCTCCATGTATTTCTGCCTTAACTTTTTAAGTCAGGGTCTCTCACTGATGAAAGCGTGCAGTTTGGGATAGGCTGGCCACTGACTGAGTACCTGGGATCCACTTGTCTTTATGCCCCAGTGCTGGGATTACAGGCATGAATAGTCTGGCCCAAAATTTCACATAGGTGATGAGGATTTGAACTCAGATCCTCACACCTGTTCAGCAAACACTCTTACCTATATAACCATTTCCACTGCATCCTTAGCGTGATATTATTTACAAACGTTGACTCTATCAGAGGCACATTATACACATTTATGAAGATTTTCCTATACAACTATCTCTTATTCTCTTCAGTCCCTTTTATTCTCACTACCTTGGTGTTTTCTCTCCTCAGCTCTCTTTCTGGTATTTCCTTTTTGTCTCTGTCTATCTTGATAGAGAAAGAAAGCAGGGAAAATGAAGAGGAAAAGGGAGAGGTGATGGTAGAGCAATTATGTTCTAGCTGTGCATTTTATATCCAGATGGTCTGAACCCACATCACTTCTTAGACATTTGCTCTAGCTCTTAATATATACATATATATATATGTATATATACCCCATATATATATATGGGGGTGACTTTGTGCATGAGTGTGAATGTATATGGGTGTGTGTGTGTGTGTGAGTGTGTGTGAGTTCACGTGCATATGCATGCCTGTGTGTGTATATGTGAGTGCATGTGCACACTTGTGTGTATGCATGAGTGCTTGTGCATGCCTGTGTGTGTGAGTGCATGTGCATACCTGTGTGTGTTTGTGTGCATGAGTGTATGGGCACACCGGTGTATGTGCATGAGTGCATGTGCATGCCTGTGTGTGTGAGTGCATGTGCATGCCTGTGTGTGTGCATGAGTGCATGTGCATGCCTGTGTGTGTGTGTGTGAGTGCATGTGCATGCCTGTGTACATGTGAGTGCATGTGCATACCTGTGTGTGTATGTGCATGAGTACATGGGCATGCCTCTGTGTGTGTGTGTGTGTGTGTGTGTGTGTATGTGCATGCCTCTGTGTGTGTGTGTGTGTGTGTGTGTGTGTGTGTGTGTGTGTGTGTGTGTGTGTGTATGCGTGAGTGCATGTGGATGCCTGTGTGTGAAGGAGCTGTCATTTCACCTCTCACGGGGTAACTTACTATGGAACCTTGGACCGGTAACAGGCCCCTGTGCTTTCAGCTGTGCCATCAGACACAAAGAGAACAACATGAGTTTTGCCAGCTGAGCGAGGCTGCTGAGAAGATTAAATCACATATCAAGGAAGACTCACTCCAAAAGTGGCTGATTATCAGGAAGCACTCTGGTAGGGACAGATTTCTGTTCCGTTCTCGGGTCTTCAAACCGTACTCCCTGTTTTGTATTTCTCATCTGCCACTTTAGCAATGCCTCATTTATTTGATGTATCAGAGAATAAGGTGTTCCACTGGAAATTAATGGGTTTTCTACCTAACCAAACCAGGGAAATTAATTCTTTAGCTTTCATCATTTTAAATGGAATATTTTCAAAACAAGAATTACTCATATCCTGCCTCCTTAAATATGGTGTATTAAACACAGTTATGTTTCATGATGATTCAGTCACATCGTTGCTATAAGCACTGGATGCCCACCCCATGCTGCTGCTAGAATTACCACAGTTATTTGCTTCTAATACCCCATTGCCCATTAGCATATCATAGAATCCATGCTTTGCAATTTTTCTCCCCAAATAACCCCAAGCTCCTTGAGAGTATGGCCCATATCTACCATATGCCCATGTTCCTAACCTGGTCCGCATAATATGGGGAAGCTTAGTAAACACTGAAGCTATGAAACTCTGTGTTAATCTGAACCTTGGGAAAGGGAAGGAAACACACAAGCCAAAGACAACAAAGATTAGACAACTGCCAACTGCAGGCCAAGTGAGCAAGTGAACAGACACGTGATGTCTGAAATACAATGTGGAGGAATTCCTACCACCCCCTGGAGGACCAACCCTGGCGCTGCACCTCTTACTCTTGGCACTGTCCACACAAGCCACAAAATCCCACGGCGACCCCTGCTTCTGTTGTGTATGTCATCTCCTTTGTCTGCTTTCCCTCGGCCTTTCTTCTTTCTTATCTTGCTGGAACTCTGTCGTGTCATCTGGCTTCTTGGCTTCTACAAGGAAAGAGTGACCTTTCATGTGCATCACGTTTAAGGCGGAAGATTTCTTCCTTCCTGTTTGGGGAATTAATTCAGAACTCATCTGTTATAGCCTCCCTGTCTTCCTCTTAAGTTCATGCAAAAGGCTCAGAACTCCTGGTTTCTTTCTTCCAGACGGTACACACATAGTTTTTCCTTTGGTAACTGACACCACTCTTGCTGTAGACCTGGACTTCGGGGAACTGTCGTTATTCTGTGTTCTGTGAAGCCGACCTGCTTGCAGCCACTTCATCATCATCCCAGGTATGACAGTCATTGTGGGAATTCATAATCCCTCCCTCCGAGGAGCAGAGAGTGTGGAGGTCTGACTTCATGACTCCCGGATGGGCAGCAGCACGGTCCATCAGGAACTCCCTTTGCTCTTTGAGTCTTCACCCAGACATATGTAAATGAGGGAGGCTGGTGTCACTGGAGGGATAACTTCAATTCTGCAAGAAACAGTTTTCTTCCGTCATTTGGATGAAATGGAAAAGGGAAAAGAGAGAGAAAACTATGTATCAAACCAATCCCTTATGACCATTTATGTCAAATCATAGCACATGTTTGGCTTTGATCTTAAAGCATGTAACGTCTAGAGGCCCAATATGTTAGAAGATGGTGCCCAAACCATGACTGCTAACGGTTCAGCATCATGGAGATGCCCAGTCTATTAGGAGGTGTATCAAAGAGTCTTGTCTGTGAACGAGTGCAGGTCCAGGGTTCCTGACTGCAAATTCAATGCCCAGAACTGAGAAAGAAATGAAAATAATAGAAAGTTTCTGGGATATAAAAATGAGGGTTTTATCATTGTCAGTTTGTCGTTCTGCATAAAATATGAAGTTTTATCTGTTTTCTCATGAAAGGGGAACAAAATGAAAGGGAGAGGGGGAACGTGTGTAGGGTGAGAAGAGGTAGTTGTAGGACAAAGTGTTGTCCTGTGTGACATTACTAACCATATGGGGATATTAAGCACATGAGGTACAGTAAATCTGGATTGAAAAGGAAGTTCTAGAACTAAAATATGCACATGGGATTATGAAGACAGCATGAACCAAAGCGTGCAAGGATCCCATTCATAATAACCATATTGATCATATGTCGAGAGGGTAACTTTGTCCGTGTTTGTCTAAAAGAAATATATTATCTAGAGTAATATTATCTGTACTTACTTAGGAAATGTCTACTAGAAAATTTCAAATTACATGTGTGATCAACATAGGTGGATCAGTTAATAGTTTGAGGGTTTGTGATTTTTATGTTTGTTTATTTGTGAGAATTTCATACATGTATACAATGAAATATGATAGTATTTACCTTCATTTTCTCCTCTAACTCCCCATATCTACCTCAACAATCCCTCTCTTAACTTCATGTCTCTGTGTTTTTATAACACACCAAGTCCAGTTAGTGCTTCCCATAATTGTATGAGTCTGGGACCATGCACCAGAGTGCGGGAATCCTATCAGTGGCCACACTAACAAAAGACTGATTGTCCTTCCCTCAGGAGATACCAACTGTCAAAAGCTACTCAGTAAGAATTTAGGCATGGAGATCTGTCGTAACTGTGCCAAAATGTTGGCTGGCTTGATATTGCACAGGTCTTGTGCAGATATATAGCTGCTGTGAGTTTGTGTGTATACCAGTTACGTCATATCCAAAAGACAACATTTGACAACAGTCCACCCCATCCTTTTTCTGCTCTTAGTTTTTTTTTCAGCCTACTCTTCTACAGTATCCCATAGAAGCAGAGGGCAGGAAGAACACACACACACACACACACACACACGTGTGTGTGTGTGTGTGTGTGTGTGTGTGTGTGTGTGTGTGTGTATGTCTCATATATATATATGCATGCATGCATGTATGTATGTATGTTTGTATGTATGTATATATGTATGTGCATGTTCCATTTTAAGCCAAGCACTGAGTCCCTTATTCTCAGCACTTTAATGAGTTATATATCTCTCAATTAACTCTTGCCCACTACAAAAAGAAGTTTCTCTGACCAAGGTTGAGGGAAGCCCAAGTGTATGGATATAAATATAAATATTAAGTAGTTGTTTGAGCAGTACAAAAAAATCATCAAAATAGCAAGAGAGGGTCTAACCCTAGGGCCTATGACTTCCATGGGCTTTTGATCATGTTTAGAGTACCAGGTCTAAAATTCCCCTCCTGTGAAGCAGGCCTCCTATCTCATCAGAGAGTAGAGAGTTATTCCCATAACATTCATGCCACTGTTGCACCAGACAGTACAGTATGCCTGGCAGGTCAGGATTGAAGTATGCAGGGTCCACCACTGAGGAAGACTTCTAATGTGTTTTCTCTCCGCAGCAGCCTATGTAGCACATTCTGGATCCACAAAATCTGGCCACCAGGGAAGATATTTCTCATTTGGTTTTAGATTTCTTTCCTCTATGTCCTGTAGCCAAAGTTTACAGCAGCTCCAGTAACAGGGTTTTAACATCACATAATAGTTTTTTGGATAGTATAGGTTTAGCATTGTTCAAGAGACATAACAGAAAATTCCAAAATAATCCAGAATTATTAATCAAGGTCGGGCCAATGTTTATTTATTCCTTGCACAACAGACCAAGAGTAGAAACATGGATCATGATACATTCCTCCATCACTGGAGATACAGATCCTCCTTTGTTTTTCTGTTCCTCCTTCCTGGGCATGTTGCCTCATGACTCAAGGTGGTTGCTGGAGCACTAACCAGAGCAACCACATTCAAACCAGCAGAGAACTGAAAGGAGTCTGTTAAGGATGTATTTCATAAGTCATCTTCTGCAATCACCCTCTTCCACCCTCCTCGATAGGCAAGAATACGCTTGGTCAAGACATAAATCACCCTCAGTCCCCGTACAATTTTAGAGGGAAACTAACCATTGTGAGTGATACCATTTCGCTTCCCTGTCTTCCATAAATTTAGGAGCACCTGTACGATGATGTCTTTGCACCCTTCAGTCAAATGCACAGCTAACATCAGGAGCTTTCCTCAGATGGCTGTTTGCCCCAGTCTTCCTGAAGCTCTGATGGTGGTGTCCGAGCATCATTCCTAATAGTACTCCTTTCCTCTCTCCTCAGTACCTTAGTGCACATGATAGCTAATATCGCCATCTTTGTTTTGCCACCAAAGAAACAAGAAATGGCTGATGTACTCTGCTGAAGGCCCTTGAGATGCCACCTGAGGAACTGAAGCCCTCCTCTCACCCACAACCCAAGTATTCGGAAACTGTCCTCTTGGTGAGTTGCAGACTGACTACTTAAAAGAGCTTTATAACTATTTTTCTATATTCACTTAACTATCTATGAAGTGACTCCATGTGACCAGCACTGTGCATTTATGACAGTGGGTACTTAGACAAAAAGTAAAATCAGTACTATTAATCTTAGTTTTAGACTCACTTAATACTACAGTGGAAGACTAAAAGTCAATTTTATTAATAGTCTAGATTTTTGCTTTATTATCCTCCCTCTTGGACATCTCTATTTGTCTTTCTTGTGCCAGAAATAGTATTTGTCCATTGTTTTCCAAAATATTTATAGAATATTACTTTTTGAATAGTTTTTAGATTTATTTATTTTATTTTATGTGTATGAGTGTTTTACTTGTGTGCATGTATGTACACCATGTTTGTGCCTAGTGCCCCCTGGAAGTAAGAAAAGGTCTTCCCCTGAAATTAGGCCCAGCCCCATTATGTCTTTTTTCTTTTAAATGCTATCACTTTCCCCCTTCTCTTTTCTCTCTCCCACCCCTCCCAAAATACCTCCTTCCAACTTCTCCTCTATGCCCTGATTCTTAAACTGATAGCTTCTTTTACTTTTATTATGTTGCACACACACACACACACACACACACACACACACACACACACACACACCACACACACACACACACACACACACACATACAACTATGCACAAATATTAAAAAAAAGTCTACTGCATCCACTTTTATTGTTTGTGTGTATATGGTTTTAGGACTGACCACCTTATATTGGATAGCCAATTGGTAGCTTGTGTCTGAGAGAGTCTCTCTCTCTCTCTCTCTCTCTCTCTCTCTCTCTCTCTCTCTCTCGTCATTAGTTGCCTATATTCTTCATCTATGAGTGAGACCCTGTGAGATGTTCCCCCTTCCAAGTTAGTCACATTGACAAGATATATGCATGTCTGTATATATTTGTGGGGGTAGGGGTCGGGGTATGCAATAAGCGGCACTCAAATGTTGGTGGTACTGAGTAGTTGTCCAGTTGGACTAAGGCCCATTCAACAGGAGGGAAATTATGCCTGACACTAAAAACCTAGTCAACTGCCTGGGCCTCATAGGTCTTAGAAGACAATCTAGTTTGCTAAACCACGTAATTACCAACTACATTCTAAATCTTATCAATCTACTCACAGATAAGTGTAGCTACCAATCTCATCAAAGAAGCTTCTCCTTACAGCAAATGGAGACCAACACAGAACAACACAACTGGACACAATCAGAGATCAATGGACCATGAGGAATTACATCATAACTCCTGCATCTGTGGCTCAGGGAACATCATGGAGGAAGGGGTGGAGAGATTGTAAGAACTAGAATACCAGGAAGTCAGCTGTAAAACAGTCTATTCTAAATTGGCTGCATAAATATGACCAAACGATGGAAATATCAATATCATTACTTCTTTAAAAGTGTTTAATAGTCAAGCAATATTTGTAGAGGCAGCATTATTAGAGTGACCCAAAGTAGTGCATCTCAGCTGCAGAGGAGCTCAGCAGCGGTGGAAACTCTCACTAACTCTTCTACCTAAAACTTGTCTGGAGATTAGTGTTCACTTATAGATTAGTGCTCATTCACAGATTAGTACTCATTCATACCTATTGCAGCAATCCTTGAAACCACTCCTTCTATCACAGAAGTGTGGAGAACTTAGGAGATTTTCTGTCCACGGCTCCTCCCTCTGTTCCACCTGCTGATGTTCATGTATGTTCTCTGTTAAAACCTCCAAGAAGATGTCAATAAGCAACCTCCTCTATGCCTTACAGAGCAAGATGCACAGGACTTCCTAAAAGATTCAACGACTATCCCACCAACATCAGCTCCTCCCATTCTAGAATCCTGCGCAAGGTGGTCCGTGGTAAACCCACCCCTTGTTGCTCTGCAAGTATTTCAGTAGTGGACATGTCCTTATAGCTGAGTTTTAAGCTCCTGGGAGGCACAGTGATTTAAATCAGCATGACTTCACAGATTCAAAGTTTCCTTAACAAATAAATGATGATTCACCGCTGGCAAATTACATTCTCACTGTATAACTTCATATTTTAAAAAATAAACAGTACCTTTGTTCACCTATTTCCAAGGATTTTTGAAGCAGTGATTCTCATGCACACTACATATTAAATTCACCTAGAGATCTATAACTAATTTTCATTCTCAGCTCATAGCATTCAGATTCTTATT